GCTTGAAATAGACAATAGCAGATGAGTCATCTGATGTGTAGGTAAAGGCAGTGTACAGCAGAGACCTTTATGTGGCTCTCAAGTCCAAATTTATTTCTGAAAAATATGCCAGAAGTATTTGAAGCTTTCTAGTTCCACTGGTGAAATGAATCCTGCTTAAAAAGGCTATTTTCATGAAATGAGCATGTAAGATACACACAATGCCAGAAACTCTTAGATGCCTAACTGAAGATGCTCAGAAATCCCTTGTAAAATTGTAATTAATTTGTCAGTGAGAAAATTGGCAGAATAATCAAGCAAGGAAGCCTGACTGGCTGGTGCTGAAAGAGCTGGCCCACCTCCCCTCTGTTCTCAGCTTTGTGCTCCCACAGGTGACCCTGTGCTGGCATCGGGTCGTTTGACGCTGGGAAGGAACTAAACCGTGAGAAAACAAATTCTGTTTAAAAAAGAAAATAATGAGTCACGTTCTGTTGTTGTAGCTCCTTGAATGAACTTGTAGGGGAATAATCTGTTTTATCAGAGTAGGGTAGATTTTTTGACTCTGAGTCAGAAGGATGGATGGTCCACGGAAGCCGGGAGGAGGGAGTAGGCTCTCCCTACTTGGTCACAGCAACAGCTTAAGAAGTTAGAGAGCTTTCTTGCATTAAAAATTAAAATGATCTTGCATTAAAAATTCTGAATTCTTCCAGTGGTAGCCTGTATTGCGACAAATCTCATTGTCTGTTTAGGGATATGTCTTTAGTTTTTTGCTGTTAAGCTCCATAGTAGCATCTCATAGAAAGATTATTTTAATTGGTCCTTAATTATTGCTTTTTTTCAGTTGGCCGACGTTCAAGATACTGTGATAGACAGAGTTCATAAATGTGCCCCCTATGTTCCTGCTTTTCTGAATAACTTGTATGTTAAAAGTTAATACTTGCTGCCTTCAGGAGTCAATTGCTTTCAGGAGTGTTGGGATATGTGTGTAATGCTCTTGAATTATGACCAAAAAAACTTAACAATTGAAATTTTCTTGTTTATATAGTCAGTAGATATTGATGCCTCTTGATTTGTGCTGTGAATTTCGTATATATTTATATATGAACTATATATTTGTAGTTCTGAACACAGAACTTTGAACACCAGATACCTGAGGAACCTGTAGAAAAAGAATTGGTTCTTACTAATCTGGAGTAGTGGGTATCCTATGAAGCAGAGTGTTACGGCTAATTAAGCTACTAATCATCCTTTAGGGATGTAAATAGAGACTAAAATCAGCTTGAGTCTAGAAGAATATTTAGTTCAGGCTTTGTGTCTCCTGAAAGTCTGTATATGTTGCTAAGAGCCCATTGAGGCTTTGGAGACAATATCTGGTTTTCTCCGTGTGTCATATCTATATAAGAAATCTTATTTGTAGTTTATATGCATATTTGATAGATAGAATATTAGAAAAAATGCCTGGAAACAATGAAGAGTTGACTGTTTCACATGGTTTTGACAACTTCAATAGTTGTGTATTTTTGGTTTTGCATTTTAGGAAATAAAATAATGCTAATGAAGCAACCATTTCCCTGAAGTTCAAGTTTTCAGACTCACTGCCGTTATGGGTAAGTCTTCTGTGTAACACGTAAAAATTTAATTCGGATACTTTTCATTTCTATTGAGACCAAAAATGTCAATGTAATACCATTCCTAGGAAATGTGTGCTTTGGCTGTGTAACTCAGTGTAACGTCTACAGGAAAGGCAGTGTTCAGCTGCCTTGCTAGTATTCAAAATACTTCTTTTGTTTTTCCGTTGGAATATAGCACTTTTCCCTTACTATGTGGTAGCTTAAAAATCCAAGTATAGGAAATTAAGTTTTCATGATATTAGGGTACTGAGCAATATTTACTGTGCTATAAATGGTAATGGCTGTTGGGGAAAAAAAGCCACCACAAAGTCTATATTAAACAATTTTATCATATTGTCTTGTGTCATTGCAGTGCAAAGCCAGGACTGCGTAAATGGTCTTAACTGTGTTTTTCTAAGTATGTAGCACATTTGTATTACTTTAAATTCTATGTCAGTTTTTCCAAGTTGTACATCCTTTTTAGTGACTGACCGGACTGTTACTGTGATCACTGATCGGTGCTCATTCTCTTTAGTTTCTCTCTTACTGTTATGCTCATTTTTTCCTAACTCATGCTTAATGATGAAGTAGCTGAATCTGGGAATTCAGTACTCTTTAGGTTTCTGATATTCTCCAACATTTTGTGTAAGAGAAGTGATTATTGAGTAATATTGGATATTCAGTAAACTTTAGATGCTTTGCCACAATGCTTTGATTTCCTTTGTGTGAAATAAGCTAACTAGTAACCACTGGGAGTTAAACCTCCTCCAGCCAACTGCTGAAAGAATTTTATTGCTGAGTGCTAGAATAGGCTATAATGCAATTAAATAGTTTAACTTCTTTAATTGTGGCACGTTTTGGAATGTGTCTTAGTGTGAGAAAGGAATAAGTGAGCTGCAAGAGTGCCTTCATTTCTGCCATTAAATACTGCTAGTAAAACTTGCTTTTATAGATTTGCGTATCTTAGAGTTAGGAAGAATGACAGCATGAGTGATGATTGAGTTAAGACATTTTCAAACCAGTTTTCTGATCTATTAAATTAGAACAGTGAAATCCCACAATTTCCTGATATGACAAATGTATTTGCTTATATTTGAATAGAGCGTGAAGGAATTCTCATCATTGCTGAATACCTGGAATGCTTGCTTGCTGATTTTAATGCTGAGTTTTTCTCAGGGCCACGTTTGAGAAATACTGTTCTTTGTAAATCACAGAACTTAGCAATGAATTCTTCAGCAAACATATCCATTGTGAAGCAGTGTGAAGGTGTACAATCAACACCCTTGTAGATAAATTTTGTTATCGAATGTTCTAGATGCATGTTGAGTATAGTACTGTTGCTGTGGCAAGGAATTAATACAAAATATTAGTGAGAAATAAATTTTCCTTAGTGGTGGATGTACAGGCTTTTGAGCTTCTAAGTGCTTTCCTGTCTAAAGGAGCATCCCAGTTCCAGGGCAAACCTTGTCTAGTGTGGCCTCAGGCCATCACAGCTGCAGCAGATCATCAGGATTTAGGATTTTGTGTGAATTTGAAATCTGTGTAGTGCTCCTGCTCCTAAATTGTACCCTAGGTTCAGTGCTTCGGTTTCTCCTTGTGAATTACTCCTCTAAGCCCTAAAACCCCCTATATTTGCAGTCCTGGAAAAGTTCAGTGATGTTTTGGGTGGTTTGGTTTTTGTGGGTTTTTGTTGTTGTTGTTGTTGTGGGTTTTTTGGTGTGGGTTTTTTTTTTTTTTTATTCTGCTATGGGCCAACAGCAGATGCTCAAACAGTGGAGGTGTTCCTCTGGGAGTTTGTGTATGCTTCCTCTATGCATACCATACCTGTTCAGGACAGAGGAAGAATTATTCGAAAGTACTTACTTTTATTTTTCTGTATTTTTTGAGGTGGCAGGGAGAAGTATGATTTCTAATTAACATCCCATCCATGGTGTAATGGGTCTGCATGGCAAGGTTTTGGTAGCGGGGGGTTACAGGGGTGGCTTCTGTACGAAGCTCCTAGAAGTTTCCCCTATGTCAGACATGGCCAATGCCAGCCGGCTTTAAGACGGACCCACCGCTGGCCAAGGCCGAGCCAATCAGCGACAGCGTTTTTCGC